TTTGCTTCGTGGTAGAACAGGCGCAGGGAGACTGCTAGGCTGCTGTTCAAGAGTAGCACATGGGGATAGTAATGGTGGAGGGAGGCATTTGATGTTTTGAGGTTCGCTGTGAATCTACTTACGGGGGGTATGTTGCATTGGTATGTGTTTAAATGAAGTATGTGACGATGGGGTTCATGCTGTACCAGACATCAAGGCCCTGGCTTATAAATACTGGAAATTGTTACATAAAAAAACGCTTAGTGGTACGCGTACTTGTTATACATGCAAAATTGCTTGCCGAAATGTTGCAAACTTACCAATAGGCTATCCTCGGTAATAATCTTGTTTTTGCTGGACGCGTCAAATGATGCAAGATAAGGACTGCAATCTCTACTCACTCTCCGCAGTATTTCATAATACCAGCTGAAAATAACGATAAAGTTGATAATATTGAACGTACCACTCCGCATTGCACCGGGACATGGCGCTAGATGTAAGTAGCCTGTGAAGCTCTGAGGAAGAGGAAACGGTCCCGGCACACAGAGAGATCGTGATCTACTGTGAAGTATTTTCCTAACATTGATCCAATATAAATGAACATAAGAATTTCGTAAGTCATCATTTCATTTATATTCTATTTGCAATTCCTGCTTCTGAACGCAGAACATTTCATATAATGCATAAGATATAAATCATCCTGCCATTCACTTTAGTTCATACCTCCGATTATATTTATCTTTTTCCTGCTTCTTTAAACTGCAGGGAACCGCGATAATTCAGCCGAAATAGCGTCTAGAATACGGGCTTGACGACCGAGGATTCAGGGTTCGATTCCTCATAGGAGCAAGAGATTTATATCTTCTCCTTAAAGTCTAAGAATGCTCTGGGACCCACACAACCTCCTTTCAAATGGGAACCAGGGGTTCTTTACGAGGTACGAAAGTGACCACTCACTTCCATCTAGCGTCGAGATTAACAACGGTGGAGCGGTGGAGCTATGCGTCTACTAGTCCATACGACTTCAAGGAGCGATGCTTAATTATTTAATTAAGCCCAGGGAATCACCTTCTATTTATACTGTTTTCAAATATTCTGCTGCAACTTA